GGAAGTGAAGCAAAGGATTGGAAAGATTGATGAAAGGGACCCTCGAACCTATCCCGTGTTGATGCACATAGAACAATATCTCGCAAAGCAAATGGAAAAAGGTCGAGAGGTAGAAACCAAGATCTCTTGTAAGAAACATAAAGAGAACATACTCTCCATTCATAATCAATGGCTTAGTGACGCAAGAGTTTTAAGATATCTCGAGGCCTGTAATGACCCGCAAAAGGCAGCAGAGAAGTTGGTAGAAACCTGGCAATGGAGATGTTCGCTTCCCAACAATGCTAATTTACTTAAAAAGCTACATTACTATGTTGCTATTGGCGACTTTCGTTTTATTGGAAAAGATCAACAGGGACATCCCGTTGTTTATATTCATTGCAATAGCGACAAATTCGACTTGGAATTTTTATCTTGTATTTTGGAAACGTTGGATACTTACTTGGATGAAAACGGTGCTTATGCTGGAAGTTGGGTTTGGATTCTGGACTGGAGAAAGAGACAACCTGAAAAGAAGGAAGACAGCAGTTCAGTTTTACCCATAGAAAACAACAAAATGGGATCCTTTTTGGATGCAGTTAAAATATGTACAAAGCACTATCCTGGACGTCTACAGAAAGCTTTCGTGATTGGTGCTCATGGGCCATTATTGACACTCTTTCATATGTTTGCCCATCGTGAAACCAAAAAGAAAGTTGTTTTTCTTCAACAGGTCAACTCGACTACAACATCTTCGGAGCAAGTTGAAGAATTGATGAGTCGTAGTCATAGAACGGAAGAGTTTAATCGGGCTCTTGCTAATGCAGGTTTTCTTTGCAGTTGTAGTAATACTTTCAACTCGCATTCTCATGCCTCACAAGAAGAGAGTTCAACTGTAATGTTCAATAACTTTACTAGTTTTTCTAGAAAAGCTTGTTGGCTTGTCATGATATTTACATTATTATTGTTGTTGTTGTCGGTAGGAGTCCTGATTTTCGTTGAGTTTTTTGGGAATATCTTGAGTTGTACACGATTATATCCCAACATTAACTTCACTCTTATATCGCGTTACAAATCTATTGAACTTTGATAGATACTTTGGGTAGGACAAATGCAAAAGGCTCTCACAGGATATTTTAATGGGTTCAGATTAGGTGTTGTGTTTCGGTTACAGTATGAATACTTTTTACTGAATAAATGACTTGGAGTCGATTTCATTATTCCACGTAGAAAGAGAGCATCTTCAACCCTTGTTATAGTTCCCCTATCTTCTCATCTTTCCAAACCTCGAATGCGACGTGCCATTTTCATTTCTGCATTGTAGTCTGGCTTCGTGCCTGTAACTTCATCGATGAGTTTCATTTTCTCTGCTGATAGTTTGGGAACCAACTGAATAGCTCGAAAATTTTCTTCCAATTGTTCCAACTTGGTAGCTCCAGTTATTACTGTTGAAACATTAGGATTCGCTGCACACCATGCAATAGCCAATTGTGCCAAAGTACAACCAAGTTCCTCTGCTATCGGCTTCAAGGAGTCTGTAATTTCTAGTTGCCAAGCTCTCTCATTAAAAACTCGTTGTCTCAAAGAACTGTATTTGGATAATGAAAGTCTTGAACCTTGTGGAATATTCTTACCACTATACTTCCCCGTCAAAATACCCCATGCTAGAGGTGACCAAGTAGCAGTTCCAATACCGAATTCTTTATACAGCGGTTCATATTCAATTTCCAGCCGATGTCTGTGAAAAATATGATATTGCGGTTGTTCACATAGTGGACGGAATAGTCCACAAGTATCTGCAACGCGACAAGCTTCAGTTATTTCTTGTGCAGACCACTCACTTGTACCCCAATAAAAAGCCCAACCACGATTGATAACTAATAAGCCAACTCAACTCTTCGATCAATCTATTTGCTCAATTGTCTTACCATGATTCATAGCTCGCACAGTCTCTTCGATGGGTGTCAAAGGATCCGGACGATGACAAAATACAATGTCGACATACTTTAGATTCATTCTATTCAGTGATGCACGAAGACCTTCAACCACATGTTTTCGTGACAAACCCTTGGAATTGACAGTATCTCTTGAACCTCGACCACCAAAAAATATCTTGGTAGAAAAGAACAAATCTTCCCTACTCCATATACCTTCTTGTATACCTCTTTGAAAAGCTTGGCCCATAATCATTTCTGCGGCACCTGCTGCGTAAGTTTCTGCGTTATCAAAAAAGTTACAACCCAACTCATATGCTCTTTTCATTAACAAATATGCCTGATCCAAATCCAGTTGTTCGTTAAAGGTTACCCAAGAACCGAAAGAAAGCTTGGATACCAAGATGCCGCTCTTCCCAAGGTTACTATACAACATATTATTGGAAGACATTTTTCAAGTTTTCTATATTCGTTTTGGATGGTTTCTTATAGGAACACAGTCGTATTGGGTTGAAATGTCAACAACTCACCAACTCCCACAACAAGATCCAATCATACTGTAGAAATGGTTTCGTTGTTTTGGCAAAAGAAGGAATACAATACCTATCATGAATGTGAATGTGCCGATTATCTTGCTAATCTCAAACTTGTTGTGACTTGAGATTGGAAAACTTGTGCAATACTAGTAGTTTATAACCTTGTTGAAATGATAAAATGAAAATGTTTCGTGGACCATCATTCGTTGTTTCTTTAGAACAACATGCGATTATTCATGATTTCCTATTGGAATAGAAAGTTTTCTTGGCACACCGTAGAGAGTTTATGGAAAAGAGTAAGAGACACAAAACTGTCACAGAAGAAATATTTATTTCCAAGCGCAACTCGTTGGTTATTTGGCGGTGCAGCGTTGTGGGCAACCAGCACAATTCTCCTGACAGAAGCACGTACGGAACAGAGGAAAACACTGCAAGTAGAAACAGCTGAGCAAGTACACTGGAATGATGTATCGAAACAAACTCGAGACACGTCCCTAAAAGATCCTTGTAGCCCTTTTTCTGTTGAACTCATACTTTACCAATATTCGGTAAGTTTTCTATGAAGAATCAGTTCTCTCTGATCACTTTGCAAAGCCTTGTCCCTATTGCAACAAAGTTCGGGCAGTATGTGACTATTATCAAATCCCTTTTCGGTGTGTGGAAGTTAATCCTTTGACGAAGAAGGAGTTGAATTTTTCGACATATAAAAAGGTGCCGGTTGCCATCATCAATGGCCAACAGGTTAATGGGTCTACAGATATTGTGTTGACCATTCAAAACTCGTTACAAAATACCAAGAATGGTAGAGCAATCTCTCCTTTGACTTTGGAACAAAGGAAGTGGTTGGATTGGATCGATGACTACTTTATCCATCTCTTACCACCGAATATTTATCGAACTCCCAAAGAAGCTGTTAGAAGTTTTGACTATATTGTCCATCATAGTAAATTTAGTTATTGGCAACAAGAGACTACGAGATGGTTCGGTGGTTTAGCTATGTATATGGTAGCAAAACGTTTAAAGTCCAAGTATAACATTCAAGACGAAAGGCGTAGCTTATATGAGGCTATCAACCTTTGGTGTAAGGAAGGAATAGGCGACAAGACATTCTGTGGTGGTGAGCAACCGGCTTTAACAGATTTGGTTATGTTTGGAGTTGTGCGGTCGCTTGAATATTATGATGTCTTCCAAGATATTCAGGCCAATACCGATATGAATTCGTGGTACCAGAAAATGCAACGTTTAGTTGGAGAGTCTTCCATGATTCCATTAGCAGAGTGAACATGTTCCTATTTATAAACAAGTCTCATCTTGTGATCCATCATTCTATATGGAGCAGTTCTGTTACAATAACAAGACTCATTCAGTCCCAAGGATACTTTAGGGGTTGCTTTCAGAGTGTCTTATCAACTTTCAGACCCCACGTCTATTACCCCATAAATCAATATGCAGTCTATGAGAATAGCGAAAGCCATGTCGAACACATTCAGTTGCCAACCACCTTCCTCGTAAATGTAAAGTCTCCACGTCCTTTATTCGAGTTATTCGTCACAATATATAACAATTAATATGCGTCCTTACTGTTCCTTCAGGCATCNAATATACCCGTTCTCTCGGTATTTGCACTNGATCCACCAGATTGTTCNCTTCTGTGATATCCTTTTCTTGAGTAATAACAAACTAAAAAACCTTATGTATAGCAACTCAAACGAACAAACTGGAAACTTACCTTAAATATGGCGTCTCTGTTCNAGAACTCTTGTAGGACTTGGCGGTGAATACGTTTTTCAAACGGCTGAAACGAATTGCTCNGTTTTGGACTCNCGTTGAAACGAATACCTTCTNCGGGAAGTCTTTCTGGCCTTNTAGTTCCGTTGGTTTCAATCTCTNCGTGATAACCTTCACTTNATATGGACTTTNATAACGACGACAATGCAGCTCGCTGTATAAGAGGTTCTCCTCCTGTCNATACCATAGCACGAATACGACCTTGTGATAAATTCNACACCGTTTTGGCAACATCAGGTATGGACAAGTTCCGAACTTCAGAAGATTTCTGGTAAACCTTCNAGTCAAATTTATCTCTCTGCTTCTCACGTATACGTGTCNATACTTGTTGTTGTTTCTCTTCTTCAAATAGCCACTACGACAAGTTCACAAAATATATATGGATATATATATATGTCTCCCCACTACTTACTGTATATTTGGTATCACAATAAGCACACTGCAAGTTGCACAATGCTNGTCGAAGAA